TGTGTGTGTGTGTGTGTGTGTGTGTGTGTGTGTGTGTGTGTGTTTGTGTGTTTACAGATATGTATGTTTGTATTTTAATCTGAATATGTGCACGTGCAAGTTCAGAAGATAGCGTAAACCCAACATACCAACTAAACTAAAAGAACTCAACTGCCCAAAAGAGAGGAACTCACCACTAGATTGTATAGATCCTGCACATTAGCATCCAACCCAGCTGCAGCCTTGATAGAAAACCCGTTGACGGAGAATACATTGCCAGGGTCGCCTGACATGATGGACAGTGTGAGCGCTCCGTTCACGCCCTCGTCTCGGTCACTGATGACCAGTGTGCCTATGACGTCACCAGCAGCTGTCCCATGAGGCACCTCAAAGACGTAGTTGCCTCTGCCGAAGACTGGGTCGTTATCGTTCACGTCTGTCACCGTTATCTTCAAAGTAGTTGAATCGCTTTTTCCGTTTGTGTTGGCAACATCTATCCCGAGGCTGTAGGACGACTGTGTTTCTCTGTCCAAAGGAAGCGCCAAATAAATGTCCCCACTCGTCTGGTTTATGGTGAAAAAGTTATCCGCGTTCCCGCTAACAATAGTGTAGGTAAGCTCAGAACCCACATCAATTGCCCCAGCATCAATCGTGAACAGCAAAGAACCAACCGTGACGTCCTCTGCAAAGCTTGCAGTCACCGTCCCACCAGTGGGCACAATCTGTGGAGGGTTATCCGCCACATTGACCACCACGATGTATACTCTAGTCGTCCCAGTCAAAGGCGTGCTTCCCCTGTCTACCGCCTGCAGCACCAGCAGATGCGACTGAGCCGTTTCGTAATCAAGCGCACTGACAATACGGAGATTCCCGGAGCTATCGTAGGAGAACAGCCCAGCATCGTTCCCCGACTGGATGGAGTAAGTAATGGCGGCATTCACACCTGTATCCGCATCCGTAGCCGTTATCTGTTGAATAAGGGTGGGTGGGACGATGTTTTCCACGTAAGAGAAGGTGGAGTAGGAGTTCGCGAAAGCTGGGGCGTTGTCGTTCGCGTCTTCTACTGCGATCTCGAGAGTGCTGACTTTTGAAAAGTCATTGACGGTTTTAGCGGTGATATCAAGGATATAGGAGGGTGTGCTTTCTCTGTCCAGAGCCTTGACAAGGATCACGGCTCCCGAGGACTGGTCAATGTGAAAGACTCCTGTTGCATGAAAAATAGAGGGAGGGTGGGTGTAGGCCAATACATTAAATTTTTTAACGTTTTTCAACTGTTCAGCATTTGCCAGAATATAAGTGTGACTTCGCACCATATATCATCAGTAGTAGTAGTAGTAATAGCAATAGTAGTAGTCGTAGTCGTAGTAGTAGTAGTAGTAGTAGTAGTAGTAGTAGTAGTAGTAGTAGTAGTAGTTGTTGTTGTTGTTGTTGTTGTTGTTGTTTTTGCTGTTGTTGTTATAGTACCTTATTTCTCTCTAGAAACTCCTCTAATCGTTGGCATTTATATGACCTATGTGAGTTGCAAGTGCCGTAAAACTCTTTCTGTAGCAAAAAAAACCCAACCAAAACAACATTACCGTCTGTATTGCCCCCAGTGATGCTGTAAGTAATGGCGTCATACGAGCCCGTGGCGTTGATTGTTTGGATGGTGTCCTCAACTGCCGTCGACTCGGACACGAAGAGGGTCAGAGGCAGGTCTTTGAAGGTCAGGTCCGTCTCTACACGGATGACCACAGGTATAGTTGTGGTCAGTAGCGGGTCAGTACCCCCGTCCGTCACCTGAATGAACACGGTGTAGGTCCCTGGGACGACTCGGCTGCTCCGCACGCGGATTTGTCCGTCATGGGCGTCCACAAGGAAGTAATCGTAGGTATCCCCGGATAGCTCCGTGTAGCGAATGTTCTGTGTGCTGGTGTCTCGGTCCGTGCACACCAAGGTGCCTGTACAGGGCGAGAATAAACTACAAATTAACTTTTAGTATACGCCAAGCCAGTTCAGCTGGCTAACAGCATCACTTGGTTGTTTACAGTCATATCAATAATCTACCAAACTTCAGCAAAACTCATCTTATTTTTCATCAGACTATAGGTTTACTGCTTGGGTCTTTCATTTCTTCCCAATGTTATGCTTTTTCTATGCAAATAGGTCAAATGTCAGCGAGGTTACGGAGAATGTTGTCATGCTGCAAAATTAGATGGCAAATCAATGGTACGAATGAGAACCGTGGACTTGTTTTAGTGAACTGGCCAAACTCAGATGTTTCGATTAGTTTTAAATGGAGGGCGGTGCGCCACTGGAATGATTTCAGGATTAACATCGCTTTAAAACTGGAATGTGAAGACACAAGCCGTATAATGACTTCTTCGTAACCGGGTTTCCCCGGCATCACTTATACTTGATCATTATATAGAAATAAGCCTGAAAATTTCTATGGTGTCACCATTATTTAATTGTAATACAATGAAATTTTGCCCTTCACAAGAAAGAATTCTTAATAGACAAATCATATTCAGCAGGTTGAAAGGCACCTTTCTAAGGCGAAATGCTCCAAGGAAAGTAGATGGAATGAGAGACAGCAGAAATGGTACACAAAAGTTAACGTCACACGCTTACATCCGACCATACGCTCGTACATTGAAGTTAAAAGATTTTACATCTCTTCCTAGCTTGTTTTAATTCTTATCACCCCTACTTTCTTCCATCCCTCTCAAACCCAATCTCTCTATCCCGGTAGGGTTAAAATGTCTAGTTCCCAATGGCATTTACATATTACTATTCTTTCAGAGCATCTGAAATGTGCAATCACCTCGCTTGCCGGTATGATGAAGTGCCTTGATTTGAGAAAAGGATAACCCGTCTCCCTCGAGGACACACCCAACTGGGCATCTACTCGTCAACATTTTATCATAATGCTTAATTAACGTTTAATTTTGTTACAGCGTTTCCCAACCCACAAGAACTCATTCGCTCGCGAACAGACACACGAACACCTCCACCCCGTTCTCTCTCTCTCTCTCTCTCTCTCTCGCGCGCGCGCGCGCCGCGCGCGCTCGATCTTTCATCCCTTTTTTTCTCTATCTCTCTCTGTTTTTCTGAAATTTGTTACTCCGCTCGTCTCCTGTATCCCAGTCTCTCAGTCTGACTCTTCCTCTTTGTCTGTGTCTCTCTGTGTGCCACTTTGTTCTTCTCCCTTTTTGTATGTGTCTCACTTTCTCTCTCTCTCTCTCTCTCTCTTTCTCTCTCTCTCTTTCTCTCTCTCTCTCTCTCGCTCTCTCTCTCTCTCTCTCTCTCTCTCTCTCTCTCTCTCTCTCTCTCTCTCTCTCTCTCTCTCTCTCTCTCTCGTCAACATATCTCTGCCTTTCGCTCAATCTTTCGTCTCCCAATCTCTCTGTCTGTCTGTCACTCCGTCTGTTCCCTGTCTCCTCATCTCTCTGTCTGTCTCTCTATCGGCCCCGTCTCGCCGTCTCTCTGTCTCACTCTCCACCCGTCTCGTCTCCCTCAATCTCAGTAGTTATCACCCTTACCTACAGTATCTCCGGTGTTTGTGTCAGGCTTAATGACAATATCTCCCAGCGAGTTACATTCCGGGGCGTTATCGTTTCCGTCAGTAACAGCTACCTTGACGGTAACACTGGACGACCTAATTGTCCCTTCAGACTGGTCAGTAGCGACGACCACCAGGTCGTAAGAGGTATTGGTCTCTGCGTCCAGGCCATCAGCGACGAGCAGGCGACCAGAGGTGGGCTCGAGGACGAATGGGACATTAGGGTCTAGTAAGGTGAGGAGAACTTGGCCGTCCACGCCTAAGTCATTGTCCACTACTGTGATTGTCGTGATCGGTTTACCTGAGGGAAAAGGTTGGGGGGGGGGTAAGAATAGTGGTTATGGTGAGGGTTGCTGTTGTTACTGCTGCTGCTGTTGTTGTTGTTGTTGTTGCTTTTGTTGTTATAGTTATTTTTGCTGTTGTTGTTGTTGTGGTGGTGGTGGTGGTGGTGATAGCAGTGGTGACGGTGGTTGTGATAACAGTGGTGATGGTGGTGGTAATGATGATGGTTGTGGTGGTGGTGGTGGTGGTAATGACGGTAGTAGTAATGGTGGGGGACGATGCTTGTGGTAGTGGTTTGTTTTAACGAGTGCATCTGTACGAGGAATGGTGGACTTCGAGAGTAGAGGATAATTTATACGATATTAGTAGTGGTAGCGGTAGTGATGATTGTGGTGGTAGTGGTGATAGTTGTGATGGTACTGATGTTGCGGGGGGCGTGGGGAGGGGGGAATAAGCGTAAAATGGTGGTGATAGCGATGATGGTGTTAATGGTCGTTGTCGTGGTTGGGATGATTAATAAGCCGTAGAGGAGGGACCTTAAAAAAAGAAATATTAGACGGCAAACCAGAAGGGACAAGAAAAGTAGCAAGCCAGGGGCTACTATGGGCTAACAAAATAAAGTTATGGGCAGCCCCATCGATGGAACAGCATACCAGAGCAGCAGCTGACGACGTAGTGAAAACTATTATTTAGTCATGGGCAGCAACATCGTTGGAACAGCACATCAAAGCAGCAGCTAATGACAACCGTAGTGAATGGCATAATATATTGGTGAACGTCCACCCCAGGGGCCTCCGAGGCAGATGCAATACCTCCAACAACCAACCAACAGGATCGAAGAGGGGAGGGGTGGGGTGAAAGGGAAAGATGGACATGGTGGTTTGGTGTTTTCGGAAGAATGTGTGTGTGTGTGTGTATGTGTGTATGTGTGTGTGTGTGTGTGTGTGTGTGTGTGTGTGTGTGTGTGTGTGTGTGT